AGCACTGATGTTTCCTAGTTGGGTCATGAAACATCTGGAAGAAAACCACCCAGCTCAGTTAGCAACCAAGCCCCCTCCTCTCCCCCCACCCCCCGCCCAGTTTCAGCCCCGAGCTACACCTGTCCTCTTCCGGAGAGAGCTCTGAATAGTCACAGCCGTTCCTTGCTTCAGAGGCAGCGAAGGGAATCCACCAGTTGCACTGAGTGCCCGTTGGCTTCTGAGTAGAGCCTTGGAAAGTGCCAGCTGTCATCTGTGAGGCTTTGAACGGGTTTGTTATGGGATTAGGTAACGGCCCACCTTTCTCCAGGTGTTCCTGTCGGTTGGAAAATCTGGCTGGGTTGGATTCCCAGGGGTTCTGTCAGCGAAGCTGTCCTTTTGGGGGTCTGGGCAAGTCTGGGCAGAGGTCTGCAAGAAAGCCACCAAGCTCAGAGAGCCCCAAGGACCCCACAGTCCTTCTCCTCCTCCTCCTCCTCAAACCCCACTCCCTTCTAGCCCTGATGATATTACCTAGTTGGGTCATGAAACATCTGCAAGAAAACCACCAGGTTCGGAGAGCCCCAAGGAACCCACAGTTGTTGTTCTTCTCTTCCTTCTCTTCTTCCTCCTCTCTGCAAACCCCACTCCCTTCTAGCACTGATGTTGTTACCTAGCTAGGTCATGAAACTGGTTCTGGACCCCACAGATCAAGTCACTGGGCAAAACCCTTCAGGACAGCCAGATCTCTCTCCTAACTTAAACCTGTTTGGCCCGAATTGCAGTCTAAGATGCCCCCAGGGCCCCCGCGGGTCTGACCCGAACTTGCTTCCCTCTCTTCCAGTGCCCCAGGTGAAGGAGAGCCGCCGTCCCCTCCGTTCCCCTGGATGCTGGGCGGCCAGGGCCGGTTCTCGCCGTCGCCCAAGATGGCGACCTTGAAACGGAGCCACCAGCAAGCCTGGCCGGAGGAGGAGGGGGACTGGGAGCATGGCCTCTACAGCCTCCACCGCATGTTTGACATTGTGGGCACCCACCTGACTCACCGCGACGTCCGCGTGCTGTCGTTCCTCTTCGTGGACGTCATCGACGACTACGAGCGGGGCATGATCCGCAGCGGGCGGGACTTCCTCCTGGCGCTAGAGCGACAGGGCCGCTGCGACGAGACCAACTTCCGCCAGGTGCTGCAGCTGTTGAGGATCATCACGCGCCACGACCTGTTGCCGTACGTCACCTTGAAGAGGAGGAAGGCTGGTAGGTCGCCTCCCGCTTGGCTCTCTTAAGAGGGTGCGCGCATGTGTAGAGCAGCTGAGCTTCAAACAATTTAGCCGCCGGTTCTCTGACTGGTTGCTGGGTGGGCGTGGCCTAGTTGGCCTCCTGAACCAGGGGAGGTGGGGAGGGGGGCATTTTCGCCCTCCCCGGGCTCTGGAGTCTTTCCTTGAGCCTCCGGGAGGGCAAAAACGGCCTCCCTGGGCCCTGGAGGCCCTCTGGAAGCCAGAAACGGGCCCATTTCTGGCCTTCCCAAACTTCCAGGAGGCCCATTTCCCCTTCCCTGGCTGGCCCCGCCCACTCTGCCCCTCCCCGGAGCCTCCACACGGCCTGTTTTGAATGGCACGAAAGTGCAGGGCCCGCGCAGAGGCTCGGGGAGGCCAGGAACAGGCCCGTTTCCAGCTGTCCGGAGCCTCCAGGAGGCCCTGCACTTTCCTGGGATTCACAACAGGCCGTGTGGAGACTCCGGGGAGGGGAGGGATGGGCGGGGCCAGCCAGTCGTCAGAACAACCCGTTTGGTGAAGGAGATGTAAAATTAGCATCCGGTTCGCCTGCACCGGTGCGAACCAGTAGCAGCCCAGCCCTGGAGCGGACGTGTCAAACTCAAGGCCCCCCGTGATGTCTTTAGATCTGGCCGGCAAGCAGACCAAGTAGGAGGAGTTGATTGAGTAGTGAGCTCCTCGCTTCTTTGGGGGGGGGGGGCTTGTCCGTAGCAGCAGCTCCAGGAGAGGACGGGCAGCGGGAGCCTGTCCAACACGTGGAGCTGGGGTAACCGCAGGGGTGGGCGCCCTCCGCCAAAGCCGATCAGAAACCTGAGGTAATATCATCATCGTGTTTTACTGGCCAGATGCCCTTCCCGTCTCCGGGGCAGAGTTTTGTTCAGCAGATACATTACCATCATGCCCAGGGAGAAAAATATCTGCCGCTACCTAGGATCGAACTCACAGCCTCCCAATTGTGAGGAGAGAGCTCCACCTCTAGGCCACCCACCCCTCCAAACCTGAGCTAATATGATACATAGAATTACGGTACGGGTGGGATAGGGCGGGCGGGGCCAGCTGGTCCTTGCAACGTCCAGTTCGGCGAAGCAGAACTAAAACTAGCATCCGGTTTGCCCAAACTGGTCCGAACCCCCTGAATCCCAAATCCCTTTGGGAGTTGCTCGTCGAAAGCCAGCTGGGATGGTCAGTCCCATGACCTTTGAACTCTGCAACCGTCCTAAATACAGGCTGGTGGCCAACTGCATAATTTGGACTACGTAACTCTGGGGACGTTGGGAGGGTCAACGACGCAAGGACCGGTTGGTTGTAAAGTAACTTTTTTCCAGTGCCGTTGCAAGTTTGAATCCCAGCTGTTGCTCAACCCCCCACGATGGTTGTGAAGCCCAGGATGACCTGTTCCAGAATTGGATCCAGCTGGCTGGGGAATTCTGGGAGTTGGAAGTCCAGAGGTGTTAAACCTTGGACCCAGGTTGGGAAACAATTCCACTGAGCCACCCGGGAAGATTCCTGCAGGTTTGTCAAGCTGCACCCTGCAGGCAAACGGCGGCGTGTAGCCGCCCAAAAGGCAGCGTGCGACTTGGGCAATGACATTTTGTGCGTTGTTTCACCGCGTTAGGCGAGTCAACTCGTCTGATCCGTCAGCTGGATTCCATCCCGCTGCTTTTCAGAAACTTAACCCAAAACAAAAACCCCGGGGAAGTTTGGTCTATGATTACTTCTTCCCTTGTTTGTCTGCATGGCTGGAAGTGTTTTCTCAGCCCTCGTTCTGCTTAACAGACATTTTTCTCTGTTTTTTTTGCCATTTAGAGCTGCGATAAAATAAAATAAAAAAAGAACAGATTGGAGATTCGACCTTTTTCCAGAAGGCCACTGTCTTCTGATTTTCTTCGGCCTCCTCTTTTTTTTTTTTTTTTTTTAAGAACTGTAGTTTAAAACTCACTTTTCTTTCTCTTCTTGGGTAGAAACCTCAAGTTGGTGTTCCAAGAAGGCATCATGTTAGAGCTGTATGTATACAGGTGGTCCTTGACTTATAAAAGTTCATTTAGTGATGGTCAAAGTTACAATGGCCCCAGTGGTGGGATTCAATTTTTTTTTTACTGCTGGTTCTGTGGGCGTGGCTTGGTGGGCGTGGCTTGGTGGGTGTGGCAGGGGAAGGATATACTGCCAAATCCCCCTTCCCTCCCCAACCCCACTAACCTGCTTTCCAGCTCCGTTCTCCTGTGCAGGGCAACCAAAGGAGGCCCAGCTGGGACTCAGGAGGTAGAGAATAGATGGGGTTGGCAGGGCCAGTCAGAGGTGGGATTGGCCGGTTTTCCGAACGACTCCAAATTTCCACTACCGGTTCTCCAGAACTGGTCAGAACCGGATGAATCCCACCTCTGAACGGCTCTGAAAAAAGTGACCATTTTTCATACTTACAACCATTGCAGCATTCCCCCCCCCACCCCACCTTGGTCACATGATTTGCATTCAGATGCTTGGCAACTGACTCATATTTATGACGGCTGCAGTGTCCTGGGCTCGCACAATCCCCTTTTTGCAACCTTTTGACAAGCAAAGTCAATGGGGAAGCCAGATTCATTTAACAACAGTGTCACTAACTTGCTGTCAGCATTCCAGCTGTTACCCCCATTTAAATCCTGAGTCTCGAGCCAAACTTCCAGAACTTCAAAAAGATTTATCGGGAGTTAACCTGTCCGGCACTGAGACACGTCATTCACTGTCACCCTTGGTTTTGCCCCACCCCTCTGGGTGTATCGTAATTCATATTCTCCAATGGGACACCTCCATAGCCCAGAACTCTCCAGTTAGAATTTTGCGTGGCAGAAACTTCAGTCACCTGGTTACCATCTTTGAAAACATTTACGGAATGCCGTTTCGGTTTGCAAGCTGCCCCACTGCTCTTTCAAACCCCTTTCTCCCCTCCCTTTCTGTTGGCAACTCTAAAAAAAAAGACCACGGAAATATTTGATGAGTTGACATTTAACACCTGCCACGATTCACTTCATGGTGGCAAGAAAAATCGTAAAAAATGGGGCAAAACTCCCTTAACAACGATCTCACTTAGCATCGCAAATGTTGGGCTCAATTGTGGTCGAGGACTACCTGTGTTTCAAATGATTATTATTATTATTTTTTATATATTGCTGGCAGTTTGTCTTTTCACACGTGATTTCCTTTCTCCCTCTTCAGTATGCCCGGACCTCGTCGATAAGTATCTCGAAGAGACTTCAATTCGCTATGTGACCCCCCGAGCCCATAGCGGTACGGAGCATGTTCCTGTGCACCAACACAAATCTGGTGAGATTCCATGCACATCTCCAACCTTTGAAAGCTGCTGTTGTCTCCGGATGCTGTAACGGTGGCACCCTTCAGTTTGGCATCTTGACTTAAAAGTCACCTGTTATGATGATTACCTTTATTGTCAAGAGTACAACATGGGTTCAGTGAGATTGGCTGAGCCTCCCTTCGTGTGCAAACCCCCACCTCCCCCCAACACAACTCACAGTGAGGACAGAAATCCCTAACCCAGTCCCCATCTTATTACACTAGGTGACCTTGTTGCACAAAATGCACAAGTCTATCGTACTGTGTTGACGTGAAGTTATTTTCCATTCAAGAGTCTGACAGCCCACGGGTAGAAACTGTTCTTCAGCCTGTTGGTGTGGCTGGCTCTGCTTCTATTTCTCCTACATACCCGATGGTAGGAGAGTGAAGAAGTGCTGACTGGGGTGTGAGTCGTCCCTGAGGATTTTCCCCACTCTTCCAAGGCAGCGAGCCCTCCTTGCGAGGTCATCTAGTGGTGTTTTGTGCTGTGCTTACCACCCTCTGTAATGTCTTTCTATCCGCGGCTGTCAAGCCAGCATACCACACCGTGATCACTATGGCAGTGATGAGACCAGAGTTGATCACCGCAGTACAAAAAAAAAAAAAGATGTCGAGGCTCTAAAAAGAGTGTAGAGAGGAGCCGCTAAGATGATCAAAGGTCTGGAGGCTAAATTGTATGAAGAACGGTTGCGGGAATTGGGTCTGGCTAATGAAAAGAAGGACCAGGGGGAACAGGATAGCAGCCTTCCAGGATTTGAGGGGCTGCCCCAAAGAAGAGGGAGTCAAGCTATTCTCCAAAGCATTTGAAGGCAGGACAAGAAGCAATAAGGATGGAAACTAATCAAAGAGAGAAGCAACCGACAACTCAGCGACCTAACCGCGAGCCCCAGGGCCAAAGTTCCCGTTGCCTCTTGAGCTTCTTAATCCCCATAATACAAAATATAGGGTGCTAACGTGCAGCATATTTATCGTTTAATAATAGATGGGGTGCTTTAATTGGTTTGCCCCGTGGTTGTAGTCATCGGTTGTGTCTGATGTGTGGCAGTGTCATCCTTTTTCGTAGCTTGGATTGAGAAAAAGTTGCCTGGGCCTCCATTTTGTGGGACGATGTCGCCCAGGCGGCCTGTTTCCTTGTCTCTCGTCTATTAATAGGATGTAGACGAAACTCTGTATTGCAGGTCAACGGTATTAGAGGATTACAGAAGCTGTGAAGGGTTCACAGGCTGCCTGTCACCGCTGCACGCCACTTGTTCTCTCACGGGCTACTTACTCCCTTGCAGGAAAACACAAGCAAAATATTCCTTTCCTTTCAGCAGAAACACGAGAGAGAAGGAGAGAGAAACAGACGCAGAGAGAGAGAGAGAGAGAGAGAGAGAGAGACAGAGAAAGAGAGAGGAGAGAGAAAGAGACAGAGAGAGATAGAGTAAGAGGGAGGAGAGAGAAAGAGAGAAAGAAAGAGAGAGAGAGAAAGGAGAGATAGAGAAAGAGAAAGAGAGAGACAGAGACAGATAGAGTAAGAGAGATGAGAGAGAGAGAGAGAGAAAGAGAGAGAGAGAGAGAAAGGAGAGATAGAGACAGAGAAAGAGAGAGAGAAAGAGACAGAGAGAGAAAGGAGAGACAGACAGATAAAGAGAGGAGAGAGGGAGGGAGGGAAAGAAAGAGAGAGACAGACAGAGGAGAGAGACAGACAGAGAGAGAAGAAGAGAGGACAGAGACAGAGGGAGAGAAAGAGAGAGAGGAGAGAGAGAGAGACAGAGAAGTATTGGGAAGGGGAGGAAAAGGAATGGGAAGGAACAAAATTGAGAGAGATGGGATGAAGGAATAAGGTGACAAAACAGGGGAGAGAAATCCACCTTAATTGTTATGGTGTGTGTGTTGTGTGTGCGTGTGTTAAATTCTGGATGCAAACAGGCCTTCCCAACCAGGCACCGCAGGCTCCAGGAAAGAGATCCTCAGTCATTTGCAACTCCAACCCAATTTCTAGATAACTATTCCATGGTCAAAGGTGTCAGCTCGTCAGGTGGCTCACCCCGTTGTGTGGCACTGAGACGCCAGCATCGCACAGCAGGGTGAGCTCCATCCTCGCCTCAGCTCATGCCCACCTAGCAGTTTGAAAGGAAGCAAATGCAAGCAGATCAACAGGTACCACTTCAGTGGGAAGGTCACAGCATTCTGTGCACCTTTGGCGTATAGCCATGCTGGACGCAGAAACTTGTCTTCGGCCCTCGCTTGATTTTTTTTACACGTGCCCAATCTAAACCCTACCCTCAAAATAAGCCCTAATTAAGATTCCTACTACTCCAGATGGGTAAAAATTACGCTAGGGTGTGAATGGCTGTGTGTGTGTGTGGAACTGCCCTACTACTTGCCTTGGGACAGTTGTAGCCAGGCCTCGCACACCCCGACACCTGCCTTGCCGGCCCATTTCTTCTGCACCCAGCAAGGCTGGCAAGGCTTCCCTGAAAGCCTCTGGACTGAGAACAGACCTCTGGATCGATCCTGTCGGCTGCAGAGGCCTTCAGGATAAGCCTTGCCTGCTGCAGAAGAAGAAGTTCCTGAAGGCCTCGGGCAGCGAAAAGGAGGCTGAGGGTGACGCATGCAAGTGAGGTTAGCCAGTGGATGATGCATCCCCCCAAAATAAGACCTGGTGCCTTTTTTTGGTGGCAACAAAAATATATAAGACAGGGTCTTATTTTGGGGGAAACGGGTATAATCCTACAATAAAGAGAGGCCTAGTTGATGCTTCTTGTCTGGACTACCTCACAGGGCTAACAGGAATGACTATCCTGGTCCTTCAAGGCCACAGCCTGGCTCCCAAGTCACCCGACCACTTCCATGCCTGTGGGAGAACTAGAACTCGCCCTCTCTCCGTCTCCCTCTCTCTTCTCTCTCTATCACCTCAGCCGCTGAGCCAGACCGAGCGGCTTAATTTCCGTTGTCGCCCAAAGCAACCCTTGCCTGGCTTTGAACCCTTTGACATTGGTGTGTGTCCCACAGTGCCTCCCCACCACCCGTTGGTCTGCTGCTCCTCTTCGGGTCCCCAGATCTGCACCAAGCGGTCCGGCCGGGGAAGGGCGCTACTCGGGAACCAGCGGAAAAGGAGGAAGTCTGTGACGCCGGATCCGAAGGACAAACAGACCTGCGGTGAGCTTCCCAACAGCCACTTTACGCCGGACTCTCGGGGCTCTGCCCATTTGCCACCAGATCCACCAGCCTCCTCAAATGGTTGGAAATGACCCCAGTGGTCTTCTGGTCCAGTGGTCGCCAACTGGTGGGCCGGGGACCACTGGGTGATCCGCAAGAAAATTTGGGTGGCCCGCAGAGAAATGCCACCCCCAAATCAATGAATCCAGGCTCCACGGGAACACAAGGCTGTGCCACCCACAAGGCTTGCGTCACTTGCATTGTGAACAACACGAGGTAGTGAGGGGAGGGGGGAAAGGGCAGAGGGGGGGAACTTGCCCCACTTGTCCCACGCGCCTCGCCTGGCCACCGGGCTGCTTCTTTCCGCTTCTTTCTCCTTCTGCTTTTGGCTGTACGCAAGGAAAGCAGCCAAAGTCTTTCTTTCTCTCCCCCAAACTCCACCAGAAATGAGTCTTTGGGACCCTGCAAGGCCTCCTGCTCCAAGAGGCTGAGCCAACAAAGACTTATTTCTGGCGGAGTTTGGGGGAGAGAAAGAAAGATTTCTGCGGCTTCTGCTGTTTTCCTTGCATGAAGCCAAAAGTCTCTCTCTCCCCCCTGAGAACGGAGCTGGAGACGATACCCTGCGATCCCAAATAAAGAACGATCGATCGGTAGGAAAACGGGGAGGGGAATTATCCTGCAGACTTTTGGGGGGATTTTCCCAGGGTTTCTAGTCCACAGGATTTAAAATGATGAGTTTGGTGGTCCCTGAGGTCCAAAAAGTTGGCGAGCCCCCTGGACTAGTCCAACCCCATGCAGCATAGGGACAGGCTAAGCATGGCTGTCAACAGGTTGTTGCTACACCTCCCAGCGTTAAGGGTCAGCCAGCAGCAGAAGAGCCCCTTCTTCTTTCTTTTCTTTTTTAAAAAAAAAGACTTTTATTAAGTTTCAACAAAAATAAAAGAGAAGAAAACAGAAAAAGCAAGAGTTGGGGGCGGAAAAAGGCAGGAAAGAATCAAGGTTAGGAGTGCAAACAAAGAAAAGGACAAAATGCTGAACGACAAAATAGGGCTGACTCCTGATTGTCTTCAGTTGAAATTCAAATGTCAACTATAGAA